ATCAATATATTCTTGAAATCAAGATGGTGTTAAATTTCGACTAATAGAGAAACAAGGCCTTGATTCATTAACTCCCATATCTGAGCCATAAAGCATACAGCAGTCTCGTAAACCATCTGCAGAACACCCAGACTTGCACTGTATGGGGAGCATGCTCTGGAACATCACCACTGCACTCGGCCCAACTCTGCGGCCTCCATCATGCCCTTGAAATGCCCTTCCACTCTACCGTAAATCCAGACACACCACTGAGCTTCTTGCTGTTCCTCTGCAATTGTGAGGTTGAGTTTATTCCCCTACCACACAGACCTGTCTTGGTGCTTTTGTTGTAAATAATTCACACTAGAAAAGCTGTGTCATGGCCCTGAGGTTAGGGAAATCATTATTTAAGCAAACAAAATCAATCCCAGAGCATCTTAGGCGCCCTGCTCTGTGTTCACCTTACAACAAGGACGGGTGGGCATGGTGGGGTGGTGAGCATGGGTCTGGGGTGATGTCTTATCTAGGGTCCTCCTGGGCTGGCCGTGGGACCCCAGGCCAAAGCTCACTTGCCCCACCATGGTCCGGATCCTTTCTCCACTGGTCACCTCCCACTCCAGCTCTCTTTTATATTTTTCACTGCTACCTTCTCCCAGTAGAAATTTCTCTAGCTTGAGGCTCCTCTTGCCAAGGAAAGGGACACCAAGTAACTGCACCTGATGGGCACCTTTGAAAGAGCAACCGAACTCCTTGCTGCTGATCCTACCCGAGCGGGAAGAGAAGCAGTGGGGATGAATTTCACCTGCACCTGCAGGACAGGAGCCTGCAAGCAGAGTCAGGAGGGAGGGACACTGTCACTCACAACCACTGCAGACTTTGATGTGTGCAATGTGAGGACAACAGCAGGAGCCAGGCCAGAACAGAGCCGGGCAGTCCACAGCACCACACTGTCACTTCCATTTCCTGCAGACTCATTGGTTCAGTCTTCAGCATGTGGCAGGGGCTCGGGCTGCCAAGGAGGTGAAAGGCAGAGTCCTACCGTGACTTGATCGCACTTGAACGTGAATTCGAGAGCTGGCAGAGCTCTGGGCCACAGCTCTGTTCGAGGAGCTCGCTGGCCACCCAGACCCCTGGGAGCCCACAGGCACTGACCGCCCACGGGGATTGGCTCTGGCCCAGGAGGGGGCAACAGGTACTGAAGGGTGGCCTAAGGCAGGTGTGGGCAAGACCCAGCCTCACTGCCACCATCACCAGTCCCTGCAGGCTCTCCCGCACGTGAGGAAGGTGCTGAGGGTGGGTATGTACCAGGGCCAGGACATGCAGCTGAGGTGCTATGAATAAAGTATGCCTGACACTTGGGGACACAGGAGCTTTATCAAAACTGGTTTAGGTCAAAACTTAGAGCCAGAAAGATTTCACACAGGCAGTCAGTCACCTTCTGTGGGCCCTGTCATGACATAACTGAAACCAGCCTGGCATTTATTTAAGTAGCATAGCTTTGACAGAACGAAAATATTTGGGTTAGTGGCACAACACATTTGGGCAAAACGTGCAGAGGCTCGCTCCATGAAGTCTGGCTTACCTCTAAGAACTCCAGTTTGGAAACAAAGAGGGAGTGGTGTCGGGTTTCAGTTCCACACAATAGCACCTTTAACAAACCTGCCAGCCAGGCACACAAATAGGGTTTAAAAAGTCTTTACTGCCGCCAGTTAATATTCATGGCACTCTGGGGGAACAAGACCCCCGCGAGGACTCAGTATTTGAATTGCTACTGCTGTCCCCAAGCACGTGCTGCAGATTCTTGAGACACGCTGAGAGCTTTTCTTATAATGGGGGCGAGGATACAAGTTTGAAGTAGGAAAAGAGGTCATTAGGAAAAAGAAGATTTAAACACATGTAAATGAGCACGCGGTGCTCATGAATTTGAATACCACTTGACAATGACTGAGAAACTTGCCCGGCTTGGTTATTTTAATTTTTTACCAGGATCTTTAACATAGAGAAGAGCCTGATGACCATGACAGTGTCTGCTTTCTGATTTCAAAATTTGCCACTTTCTATTTACAGATGCCAGAGAAGGTGGAGCTTCCAAATTAGGGTATCAGAACAACTGAGTTTGCATTTGTAACTCTGATGGTGTAACCACAACTGTGACTGCTGGAGAAACAATAACATCAGTAAAGTGAACTCAAGCCCGAATTAAAAGCTGGTATTTCCATTACCCACCTTCGCAGTATTTTCTGGAGTTTATATAGTTTGATCATTAAAAAATGCTTGAGGCTGAAAACCTAGTCTATGTCAGTTTTGGACACCAAGCCAGCCTGCCAAGTGCTGAGGTCTGTTTGTCCTTCTCTTTTACCCTTCTCCAAGAATGTATTAACATTAATGCTAAAAATGCCGCTAGACCCAAATAACCTGCGCCACCTGAGACGCCCAAGCTATTGGACGCATGGCCTGTGTTTTCAGAAGAAATTTACGATGTCTAGAAATTCAGCTTCAAGGAAGTAAAGAACTCAACTTGCTTTTAACTCAGTCTTTTAACGATCCTCTGGTCTATTGATTACTCCATCAAAAATACTGGAACTTCCATTTGGAACTTTAATTTTGCTAGCAATAGAGTTTGAGTTGGAATCTGACTTTGTAGAAATCAAGCTCACTACTGTAACTTTCTTTCAGTGGGCTCTCTGCAGCCCTGAAGGGGACTCTCGTACGAGGACAGCAAGCCAGCAGAGGGCTAGACCTCTCCTTAGGCTGTGAATGGTTCAAGTGACACCTCAGGAAGGAATGAGCACCCCTGTGCACCCCTGTGCACAAGGATCTCTGACAAAGACAGGAACACCACCATCGAGAAGCCCCGATCTTTAGGCAGAGAGTGTAGGAGACGCAGATCGGACTCCACAAGACTGGGTTGGCCAGGAACACCCAGGCGGAGGGATGTCCAGGGGCCAGTGCTGTCTACACCCGGTGGCCTCCTCCTTGCACTCCCAGAGACGCAGACATCTCAGGGTGTTGAGCCCACCTGAAGTGCCCAGGTATCCTGGATCCTTGCCTGGGAAGGAGGGGCTGAAGCAAGACCAGATGGGCATTCTGTGTGTGTGCAAGTGTGTCTGTCTATATGTTACAAAAGAGAACATACAAACACATTTCTAAATAGAGGGAGGAACGCTGCCGTAGCATTTTGTGCTGCAATTTTATTTTGCTTTTTGTAGAATTGTGGCAAAATCATCACTATAGATACAAAGAGAAATACCTAGACGGTGTGTCAGAAGCCCTAACAAAGCTCACATCACTCAACAACCAAGACACACATTTATAAACTCAAGTTTTATATCTGATAAGTTTTAATGCATCCAGTAATGAAACACTTCTAATGATGGAGAAACCATTATTCTTGAAAACGCCTTTTTTGTGGATTCTGCTTATGGTTATAAAACCTGTCCTTATGTCCCAGGAGCGCCGTGCTGAGCAAAGACCAAGGTGTTTCTGGTTAGGAGTTACACACAGCTCCACTCTTAACTTTTCACTCAGTCCAGAACAAGGTGAGCCTGGCCGAATAGGAACCCTTCTCATCACTAGAACAGAGCTGCAATGCTATGATTTAAACGTTTTGTTTTCATGATTTAGTAATGGGGTTTTTCAAACACTGAGCCACATCTTAGCAACAGACTGTTCTTCCAGGGAAACCAGTGAAGCCCTGATACAGGTCCATCACAGCGGCCAGACACTGATCACACATTTTATAACTCAATCATTCATAATTTCAAAAAGTGCAGGCTGGGTAACCCTGACAGCGACAGGAAGTGGGCTAGTGGGTGCCCAGGGGTGGCTGGAAGGACGCGCCCATGCCTACCGGTGGACAGGGCTTCTTCGAGGGTGAATCCTGTTCTAAAACCTGTTTTTGAATGACTACATGGTCTTTTGAATTAAAAACCATGAACTGTATGCTTCAAGTGGATTAATTTAAGCATACTTAAATTCTAAATCTTTAATAAATATCCTTTTGGTAGGCACTGCCAGCAGAGGAACTCTGAAGGAAAGAAAAACAGCCCAAAGGGATCCTGACTTAGTTCTGTTTATGTCTACGAGGCAGGGAAGGAAAATGAGCAATTCATGAATATAAATTCTACTAAAGAATTCCCTCACTTTGTTTAAGGTAATACTTTGATCCACGGAGAATTCTGAACTCTATTTTCGAGGCGGGGTATGTTTACTTCAGATTTCTTGTCCTGGGGCTCAGGAAAGTTCAGGAAATTTCAAGCCCACAAATGAGTTCTTCAAAGAAAAACTGACAAGTTACAACTGTTATTATAGTCTATTTCACATATCCCAGGGTTTCTTGAGGTTTAATTTAAAACATATGGGTTGTATCCCACGCACTTAAATGTTTCTGTATTCCCAGCGACAATCACATATCCAGAAGGTCAGAAGCATGGTTTATTATGGAAAGATAACATCTAGACAAAACATAAGCATATGGCCTTTCTCAGATCATAAATTAAATACACAATGGCCATTAGACATATTACTTCTTATGAATATCAATACATAATTCCCCATTTGAAAAATATATGTGTTATGACATTTTCCCATAAAGACATAAGAACTCTTGTAATATGGTTTGTAACAGGACTGATGTCACTGTCATGTATATAATTCACATAGTTATTTAGCTTTTGCACTCTTATTGGTCTTGTCAGAAACTGTGTATAGCTTTCCTTATTATCTTTAATAAAATACATTTTTTCAAATCGCCAGGGCTCCAAAGGCTGTATGTAAACCTTGATTTTTCAGATGAACCCTAATAACGATATTCCACTCATAGGTGAGAACCTCTATCTAAACTATGTGGGGTTCACTGTTGGTTTCTGTGGCAAAGTTTTCATGGACTCCTGCAACACTGGATTGCGAATGTCTACACATTTCCCTAGATGTTTAATGCACATGTCTCCCAGAGTGCAATGATAATGACCCTTGGCTTTCTCAGACTCACACTAGACACAAAAGCAGCCTTGGACACTCACAGTTGTAGCTGGGTGCGATGCGGTGCTGGGCCTCGAGGCTGGCCAGCGTGATGTGGAAGATGATGTGGAGCAGCAGGAAGGAGAGGCTCGTGAAGCACAGGGACTTCAGCAGCCGGCCTGTGTGTCCTGGGGACAGAGACAGAAACTTAGGAAACATGGAGAGCATACGTGCATCCCGCCCTGGCTCTGACTTCAGCGAGGCCTTATCCACGTTGAGCTCAGGCTACAGCTAGAAGCCCGGTCACTCCCTGGGCAGCACCATGTAACTGGCTTTACACTTAGCAAGAATTCGCGGTAAAATATGCACAGCCACCCAGTAAACGGTACATTACAGCGGAGACACAGAAGGCTCTGGCCTAGGAAGTTTTATAAGTAAATGCTGTCAATTTTGCATGAATAGATAAACCCTGCTTATAAAAGGAGTTCTAGGAAGAAGGAAAGTAGCCTATAACATCTTGTGAAGTTAGGGTGACTTTCTCTTCAAAATTAAATAAAACTACAAAAGAAAACTATGGCCTAAGACAACTTTACTTAGGAACACAGACCTCAATTGCTTTTAAAGTTTGTTACCCGCTGAGGTAGCAGAGCATATCATAATCAGCTAGAGTTTATTACAGAAAAACAAGTGTATTTTTACATTAACAAAGCCAAAAAAGAAATTCACACACTACTAGACTCATATCATGATTTTCTCAATGGATACAAAGAAAAATTTCATAAAGCTCAACATGTACTTAATTTTAAAAAAAAACAACAAACCTAGAAACAGAAGGAAACAACTTCACAGGATTTATATCATGTTTGAAGCAAGCATCCCAATTGGGGGATGGGGATCGAACTCATGACCTCGCGCTTGCCAGGCAGGCACTGTGCCACGAGCTCCATCCCCAGCACCTGAAGCAAGCATCCTGTTAATGCTGAAATTTTATCCAGATCTCACCAAGGGCAGAGAATCACACACATTCAATACCATCACCAGCCATTAGCACATCACTGAGAGTATTCGTCAATGCTGTAAGGTTTTTTTAAATGAAGCCTTAATAACTAGCTTTATTTGCAACAATATGATCAAATGGACTTATTTCCAGATGATATCATTATCAATATAGAACACCAAACTAAACAGGCAAAGCAACTACTAAAACAGATACAAGAATTCTGGAAGTGATTCAGATACAAAATTATCTTATGAAAATCAATATACCTCCTCTACATTAGTAATAATGGAGTAGAAAATAGGAAACAACTTCATTAGCAATCGGAACTGGACTGTCACAGTGTTGCTGTGGATTGTACCAGGGTGGCTCGGCGTTAGCACAGTTATCTAATCAAACACGGATCTAGGTGCTCCTGTGAGGTAAAGATGCGATTGAAGTCCAGATCACCAGGCGACCTTCTCCAGGGAGACTGTCTTGCATTGCCAAGCAGGCCTGACTGAAGCAGGCAGGAGCCTCTAAAATCAAGCGGAGGAGACAGCCTGCGAACATGAGGAGACGTAACTCGAACATTTACAAAGAGAAGCTATCGTCTTCCTGCACCAGCTTCTACTTGTGTCCCCAGAATGCAGATTTCCTTAGCCAGTTCACTGGTCAGTTTATAACCACTTCCCTGAAAACTAAGCGATGGGCAAGGGAAATGTGCAATTCATAGAAATATTTCCACCTTAGAGCTACTTTGGTTGCATTGTGATTTTAAAAAATTAAAAATTGAGCTGGGCATGGTGGCTCACGCCTGTAATCTCAGCACTTGGGAGGCTGAGGCAGGAGGATCATTGCAAGTTTGAGACCGGCCTCGGCTACAAAGTGAGCTCAAGGCCAGCCTGAACTGCAACAGAGAGACCCTGTCTCAAAAAGACAAAAAAAAAAAAATTAAAAATTAACCTAATAGAGTACTTTTATGGTTAAAATAGAAAAACAAAAAAAGAAGACACAAATAACGGAAGAGACATGCTATATTTATGAGTGAGTTATGATAAAGAGTCCATTTTCTACAGATTTAATCTATAAATAACACAATTTCAAATGAAACACCTATACTTTCAATAAACACATGTCAAATACCTAGGGAAAAATGTTTTCAACTTTAAACTGTGCTTCAGAGCTGGGTATATAACTCAGCAGCACAAGTGTCTGCCTGAGTTTGATTCTGGTTACCCTTCCCAAAATGCTTAAGAATAAAACTGTGCATTTCTATGTTAATTCTGAAATACTGAGAAATAAGGCCAACAGTGATGGAGCTAATATGTCCTAATAGACATTAAGGCATCTATAATCATCCAAGTTAATAAAACAAAACAATCAGAACCGAAAGAAAGAAAGAGAGAGAGAGAAATGGAATAACACACACTCTTCAGAAACAAGCCAGTGTACTGAAGCTGATAAATGTCAAAGTTGACCCTAAAGCTAAGAGGGACAGGCTGGGACTGACACCTCCCAGAAGGCAGGACAGTGTCCCTCTCCCCACAAAGCTGGGCTTTGGCGCCCCCCCTGGCTGGGAGGGCTCCTGCAGGAGGCCTGGCATCTCTGTTGTGTTTCCAGATGCTCCATGGAAAAAACTAACAAGTGTAAACAAACTGAGAAGGCAAGAGAACAGTGTCCCTTTACCCAGGTCACATCCCTGAGGTAGCCCAGATAGTGCCAGGAGAGGTCTGGCTGGCCTGTGGCATCTCCACCAGGTGGTGTGTGGACGACGAGTGCTGGTCTCTCCTGGCCTTGTGGGGCACCTCTCAGGAGCCCCATTTGCCTCTACCCAACCTGGAACTCTGCAACGATGAGCCCAACTGGGCCAGGTGATAACCCAAGCAATGGGCCAGGCAAGAGTGAGGGAAGACACATCATCTGTGTGTGGTCCTCAGCAGCCAGCCACAGACCTGATCCCCACGCAAGACGATGGGGCTCACTCAGCCCTGCAAGGAGGCTGAGCTGAGAACCCAGATAGGTACTGTACTGCAGATGCCACACCCACACACCCTGTGCTTGCAGATCTCAGGGCAGCTCCTAGCAGCTGGCTTCACTGTGCTGGGTAAGGTCGAGGAGCTCAACCTTGAGCAATGGAGAGCCCTGCCCTGGGAGAAACACTTGGCGTGCTCAGTGTGGAGCATGGACCTGCGGAGCAGTGAAGGTCTGGGGACCTGAAGTAAGAAGGAACCAGGTGCAGCCTGGTGCAGCCACAGGAAAGGTCTGAGAGAGCCCAGACCCCACCAAGCTGGCTGCTCTCGCCTGAAGCCTGTGGGTTGGGAAGTGGAGGGCGCCTGCTTCTGGCAGTGTGAGAACAGTAGAGGAGGCTTCAAGGAACACAGAGGATCAAGGAAACAAGATGTTATCAAAGGGAACAAATAACGCTCCAAAAAACACGAATTAATCTTGTAGCTCACTGAGCCACAAGAAACAAAGAGATACGTAAAGGAAGTCAGGGAAATGACATATGAGACAGGCAACAGGGCGGTAAAGGATGAAAAAGAAACTTGAGGGTTGGCTAACAGCGCTCAGATGAAGGATGCAACAGAGCCCCAATAAAGAGTGGGTGCAGAGGGTGTACAACCGGAAAACTTGACAATGAATCATCTGAAGTTATCTAGGACAAAAACAAAACTAAGAAGAGTGGAAAACTCCTAATGGGCTGAGGAACAGCAAAGTGGGGACCAATAGTGTTAGGGTGACCAGGAAGGAAAAAAGAAAAAAGAAAAGAAAAGAAAAGAAAAGAAAAGAAAAGAAAAGAAAAAGAAACAAGGAAAAGGGAGGAAAGCTTATTTAAAGAAAGAAAAGCAGAACAATCACCAAATTTGGAGGGTTAAATGAACATACAGGTCCTAGAAGACCAAAGGACTCCAAATTGGTCAAGGCTAAAGATGTCTATAAGAGAAGATAATTATCACATTGTCAATGACATAATTTTGAAAGCTGAAAGAGAAAACTGACTTACACACAAGGGCACTTTCAGAAGACTATGAATGTATTTCTCCGCGGGACAGGAGAGGGATGACACACTCAAGGTGCTAAAAGAAAAGTCTGCCAACCAAAACATGCACCTAGCAACCATCCCTTCAGACACGAAGGAAAGACTAAATTCTGTCTTTGACAATTTGATAATAATCTTCGTTTACAAACATCTTAAGGTTTGACCAATTTGGAGTTCTTTGGTCTTCTAGGACCTGTATGTTCATTTAACCCCCCAGATCTGGTGAGACCGCAAGAGCTGAGGTAGGTTATCACCACGGAACCAGCCTCGCAAGAAATCCTAAAGCAAACTAAGACACTGATCTTGAAAATACAGGACAGCATACAACTCAGAAAAACACAGGAAGTCATGAAACTCAGGGGAAAAACTAAGTACAGAGTCAAATTCAGAATACACTAACACTGGAAGGGAGGCATGTAAGTCATACTGAAACCTAAAACAAAAATTATAATCCAAAAGCGCTGAAAAGCACTACCATCACAATACATGTTCATGAGGACAGATTTATAACGATGCAAGTTGTGGTGTCAATAGCATGAAATGTGGGTAGAAGTACAAGTACAGTGTGTGTATGTGATTGAAATGAAGTTGGTGACAATTTAAAACAGATCATTTTTAACTAAAATGATTCGTATAAACCTCACAGTAATCACAACCCTAAAACCTAAAAGTAGATACACAAAAGATAAAGACAGTCAAAACGTATCACTACAAAGACATTATCTAATTGCCAAGGAGGACAGAAAGAGAAAAGAAGAAACTACAAAAATATCAAGACAATAACTAACAAAATGGCAACCGTAGATCCTTATCTATCAATATTTACTATACATGTAAATGGGTAACATTCCACCGTCAAAAGATGTGGGTGACTGGATGGATTAAAAACAAGGTCCAACTAACTGTACACTGTTTATATGAGAAATTTGTTTTAAGGACATAAATAGTCTAAAAACAAAAGAACTGGAGAAGATATTCCATACAAATAGTAACTAAAAATGGGCAGAGTTTATCTGTTCTTACATCAGACCAAACAGACTTTGGGTCAAAAACGTTCACAAAAGACAAAAAAGAACTACATAAAGATAAAACAGGAATATAGCTTAGTGGCATTAGTGCCTGCTGGTAAGCATAAGGTCCTGAGTTCAATTCCCAAGACCCCCTCAAAA